CTCTTCAGAAGGTACTTGGCATTACGACAAGTGAATCTGAGTAACAGGCGCCTGTATTAACAGCATGACACCGTTTCTGTCTTGTATTCCATGTTTCGTGTGCAAACAACTTAAATGACGTAATTCGTAGACATGGAAACACGGCTAAATGGCTGTTTCGTCATTGCTCTAGGCGGCAGTGATCTCGCTACAGCTCACTGACGGTCACGCGGGAACCTGCCTCGTTATCATCGAGGACGGAGGTTCGGGCAGGAAGTACGCCATTTGTGTAGCAAAGAACGTTAAAAAGGCTCACGCTACCTAGTTACTTCCTTTCATGGCCGATACCATAGTTTAATTCAGTTTTAAAATTGCTTCTTGTGGCTTAAAAATCATTCAATGATTCAAATTTACGCCATTGAAAAGCAACAGCATGCGCTGTTGGTTGCCATGTAGTCTTTCCTGATACTGAAGGCGCTGCTTGTTACGCTGTGCATGTACAAATCGGTGCATTTAACTTTTTTTTTAAATCTGTGGATGGATCTGAAAGTTGCGGCATTGAGATGGAATTTTATTTCCCATGCTATCTTACTTTTGTTTTATCAAGTTTCATTTGTCTGAGGCGTTTTAGCGGGAGAATGCAGATAAAAAAACAGCTAAACCAACACTTGGTTGTATGCCGTACATGGTAATTATCAGCTAGGGAATAAGTGGGCTGTAAAGCTAATGTAAGTCGGTAAATAGCTTTAATTACTGTTTCTCACTTAGCGCGAAGTAGCTGAAACGCTTCAAGCTATTGGTAAGAGACAGGAGTGTGATCACGAGCATTCAAATGTGGAAAGTTGTGAATGAGTAGCGTCTGAAATAAACGTTTGCAGTGACTAATCCAGACCTTCAGATAAGAGGGGGTTGTAATCCAGACCCTGAGATAATAGGGGAATACTATACTATTTACTGTATAAGACTCCAAATAAATAAAATATGTATGTATGTTATAAATAAGTATGTATGCATGTATATGTTGTGGTTCAATTTTATCCTTGGTTTAAATTTTATTTTTCATTGTTTCAAACTCATTATCATACATTATCATACCCAAACACAAAGGGAAATAAAATTTAAACCAAGGACAAAATTGAACCACAACATATATATGCAAACTGATCCTTACGGCAAGGCGATGAAGAAGTAAATGTTATTTGGTCAAACGACAAGTAGGGCAGATGTACGATTTTTAAGTTTGTAAGGTTTGTCGTATTTACTAAACAAACGATGTGACCAGCTGGCTGGATCGATGCGTGCGTCATTTCAGTTCCTCAGAAAAATTAAGATCGAATCATTTACTTCATTATCACCTAATTATCAGGTCACAGACATTTACTAAATACTTGCAAACATACCATGATTTATTAAATTAACGGTAATTTTATCCATGTCCTGTTTTTCTCCATTGTTAAAGTGTCAGAGTCATTGTACTGTTACTATTTCAGTCAGGTAATTTGCAAACCTAGCCTACACCCGCTTGTACAAACTGGAAATATATTGTGACCCCGCTTTTCCAACTTCCTCTATATCTAATTATAAAGACAATCACAATCTATTGATAATATGGAGTCTACAGTAGAGAGTTAAAAAAATTTTAGACGTTCCAAGGTTCGATGTTAAAGATTACTAATACTCATAGCCTGGCTGTTCAGAGAAAAGAAAGTAAGTACAGGGCTTGGCGGCAGGTCACAGAGCTGGAGCTTACCCCCATTACCATGCTTGAAGCACCTAGGCACAGAATTAGACAGGATGCAGCTATTCCACTGTCTGGAAGGAAAATTGAGATCTTTGCCGAGATATGCAGATCCCTTAAACTAAGTTATATAAGGATAAAGTAACACGAAAAAATATACGTATTATATTACCTCTTTCCTCGACACTTCAATATCTACCATTGCTCGTAGTTGCTGGTTTTGTTTTGATAAATGCTTGGCATCTTTCCGCGTTTCTTTGAGTTGCATCGGGCAAGAGAGAATGATCTTCTCTCTTGATCGGGGGAACACATATCACTGTGACGTCAAAGTGATATATGTTCCTCCGTGATATGTGTTCCCCCGAACACATATCCCTTGTGAAATGTGTTTCCCCTACCCGGGAACACAGATAACTAGGGGTATGTGTTACACATATGAAAGGGAAACACATATCACTGTGACGTCACAGTGATATGTGTTCCCCCGAACTGGGAAACACATATCCCTAGAGATATGTGTCGAAGGTGAAGGTCGATGAAATACTTTCAATGGGGGCTAGCCTGCGTAGCAGGCCCTTGGAAGTAGTGAGCGAAAGAGAGAACGGGCGCGCGAGAGGGAGACACGCGAGGGGTGAGGGTGAGGCTACCTCTCCCCTCGCGTGTCTCCTTCTCCCGCGCCCGGTTTTTCTTGTGCCCACTACTTCCAAGCGCCTGCTACGCAGGCTAAATGGGGGCTAAAGAGTCGACACTTTATGTTGAAATTCGCTAGACAAATCGGGCTGCCCGGCATTTGGACCGTGAACACATATACCCGGGAACACATATCACTAAGGAAATGTATTTCCCGGGTAGGGAAACACGTATATCTTTTTGTCACATATCACGAGTTTCGAGTTTCACGATTTTTTACCCATTTCTCACTACTTTTCCCTGCTCTAGGTTCAGAGTCTCCCATGTTTTGCCTTTTGGTGGTTAGGAAATCTGCAGTTCCTGGGTCAAGGCACAAACTCGTTGCTTACCGTTGCCTCTAGGGGTTGATTTGACCCTTATTGCTTTCGATGTTGTACGAAATCGTCTCCTCTTTCGACCGATTTGGTCAGATATAGCCGATTAACGTTAAATACAGGGTGTGATTGCCTTGTCTCCCAGCTAACTTGTATTTGTGCCCCGTTTTACTGAGTAGAGGGGACTAGAGTAGATTTGGATCATATGTAGGTAGAGGATCAGGCAATACCGCCACTCCAGTTTGATAAGTACGATGATGACGCTCGGCTGAATGATATCTATATTCTAGATATCCTTTAATAACGCAAGAGTCCAATCACAAGGAAACATGTAAAATTCCAAAGAAACACCCACACTTTTCATCTTATAATGTTAATTAACTGCATTCTAACAAACTTCACCCTGGCATATTAATAAATTTCCGTCTATTTTGTCAGAGGAGTCTGCCTGAGTTAAAGTAATTCCTACAACTCGAAGAGGCCTCCACGGAGGAGAGAGACGTAGGCGGGTTAGTTTACATGGCAGTCGTGCAGTAACGGCAAAGAAATGTACAAGAAAGTGTGCCACACGAGCGAAGTTGTCGATTTCCTTACTAGGCCTCGCGTGCACACGTATCCGCATATTTTTCAAAACGAGAGAGAGATTTTTTCCTCTTTTTTTTAAAAAAAAATACGAGTCCACACTTAGCATGTTCGACGTCAATCGTTTTCGCCCGTGCACACCAAAACGCTAAAAAGAAGGAAATACGATAACATTCTTCATCATCGTATTCGAAAACCTCCTTTTTAGCCCTTTCACACGAAATCGATAAGCGTTTTCAAAAAAACTCACTTTGGTGACCATTTTCGAAAACCAATTTATCTATCTTTTTTTATTATTTACTTTATTATTTTTTTTTGTGGTGGTGGTGGAGGGTGGGGGGAGGGGGGGTTTCCAGAAAACGAAGCTTATGAATCGTGGACGGAAGGCTAAAACGGAGAAAAAATTGTCCGGTTTTAAAATTATCCAGATGCATGTGGAAGAGGCTTTGACTGCTTTTTTTTTTGGACGTCCCCTTTCTCGTCGCCGTCATCGATTAGAAGAGACTGACTCCGCGAGCGTATACCCACCACCTTAAGATCGATTGTAGGGAGATGGCCACTATGGAGGCGGGGAGGGGGGGAGGGGTTAATAGAGCCGGTTTGAGCAACGGCGACGGCGACGGCAACAGCAACGGCAACGTAAAAAGAACACGAGCGCACACTGTTTTGCACAACTAACTACGAGGTGAAATCACTTGTGCGAGGTCTTACGAAGGTCATAGTCTGCTAGCATTTGACATTTTAAGCGAGTTGAAATAATCGCGACTAATTTTAAAACAAACGCGGTGAAGTCGTTTCTAAAATACTGTCGTTTTTGTTGCCGTCGCCGTCGTATTTGCTCACCCCAATGTATCTCCCGGGACGAAAAAAATTGCCATGAGCCCCTTTAAAGCTTCCATCATATTTAAAGTATATTGTAAAGGACCAGCAAATATCAGTGTCTGATTTGCAGGAGGGGTTGCAAAACAAATCCATGAAATAAGCGGAAAAAATACCTAGTGCTAAAAAGTACTCAACAACTTTTCTCCATTTAAACGGCCGGGGGCCTTAGGAAGTATTTGAAGTGTAATGAGAAAGATTGAAAATTCCTTTTTTTTTCCAGGTTGTCCTTTGTGTTCAATATTTGAAAAACACTAAGACGTCCATGCTACGACAGCTCCAATAATCAGTACAAAACATCATTATAATACGCGATTATCTGCAAAGGAATGTTTCTCTAGAACTGAAAAAATGAAAAAATCTTTTACTAGAATTGGTGTGTCTGTTTGCAATTCTATTCCACATTCTTTTTTCGTAAATAAAAACATTAAGTTACTACTCCTTAATGCCCTAGATAATGAAGAAAATTATTTGAATGTTACTTATTTAATAGAATATTTTAAGAAAAGAACCTGATACCTTGTATATCAGCCTCCAGCTGTAATATTAGTCTATTTTCTTTCTAATAACAAAACCCCTGTGCTTGAGTTTGTGTGAGGGGTTTTTCTTTCTGTGTTGTTGTATTTCTTTTCGTTTCCTTTTTTCTTAATGGGTAATTTAATGACGCCTTTATTTATACTTTTTTGTCCTGTCTAGATTAGCGCTATAGTTATTTGCAGGGCATAAAGTATTTTAAGCTTTATGGATCTTGAATAAAATATATATATTGTTGTTGTTGTAACACTTTTGATCTCTATATCCCTATGAGAAGATAACGTTCAGGGAATGCTATAAGGATGAATCTCAATTTTGATCATTACTGTATCATCTCTGGAGTATCGAGGATTGCAAATCATGTCAATAGGTGCAAACTCTGCGTACCCATACAGGGTGTCGTATTGCACGGTAGTATCAGGCTTTTGAAAAGCTCTCTGATTTCTGTCGGTCACGAAAGTACCACTTATATGGTGAGGGTCTTCTCCATTGCTTTGATCCAACATTGTGAGAGAGATTATTGCAGTAAAGGGCCACTCCAGGATATTATCGTACTCTCCCTGCATCATGCCAATAAAAAGGCCAGCGTGTCTTCTATCTCCACCATCAATTCCTGTCGGGAACATACATATGCGGAGCTTGTAACCATAAAGACCAGTGTAAATCGGAGGACCTTCTAATGAAGATATCCCTCCGTTCACAGCATCTCGAAGGTGTATAGAGAAATTCTCTATTCGCCAAATAATAAAGTTACCATCAAAGATTCTGCCTGGGCTTAACTTTCCCCCTCGTGCGCAACACAACCTGAAAAAGAGTATAAATGAATCAATGCCATGAATCATGGTCTTGTAAAGCTACCCGGGGGGTACTCAAGAAATTTTTATGCGGGGAGGCTCCGCCCTGAGGTCCAACTCCTTACCCTTTTATATACCATTTTTGACAGAAATAGTACCCCCTTCGTATACCTACTGTTGACAAATGGTACCCCTATCACATACCTTTTTTTAGAAGTTTGCATCCCTTTAAACTGCATTAAGTATACTGTCTTTAAAATATGAGGAAATCACAAAACCAGAACGTTTTCTCGACTTTTTCACAGCCTAACTAACTAACTCGCGTGACGACGCCTGTTTTCAATTAGACAAACAAACATGGCAGCGAAAAAAGCAATGGAACACAAAAGACGATTTCTCAAAATCTACTAATTCAAATTTTGTAATATTTGGCAGAATTTTTACTTTAATCTTATTTTGAATAATGAAAACTTTAAAATGGAACTTGATTAGACGAATTTTTTGACACATTTAATAATAACAGTACAATGATATTATTGATTATCTAAAACCCGTCTGTTAAATTTGGTGAAATAAGTTTCAAATGGTAATGATCATGATTAATTATAGTAAGCTGTGTGCAAGTTAATAGGAAAATCTTATGAGCGAATTTTATGTAAACTGAGCAGAAGTGAAATTTTAAGGTTGTATTCAATCGTTCATGTTGCCATGGAAACTACGCAAACGTCACATTTTACCTGTCAATCAAAATCTTTCAACAGTATATTTTTTACTTGTCAAGTTTCAGCTTGTGAGCTGCAACCTTTCTTCTGTCATGATTTGGTAACTGACATATACTCACAAACTGCCAAAACTGTGTTCAGCCACCTTAAGTGTTTCCTAAGAGGAAGGATTTGTTGTCCTAGGGACTCTTACCTGTTTGAAGTCAGCCTTTGAGGTAGACTGTGGGTATCCATGTGCTCCACAGGCTGGGATTTGTCAGGAAATTGGTTTGTCTCCTCCACAGAGAACCGTACTTGCTCAGTTGACTCAGATGACGCAGTCTGGCCTTCTCTGCAATACACCTGACCTGCTAATAATGGACCAACCTCAAAAAGGCCCAATCCTCTACTGGCCTGCTCATCGCCTTGTGGCTGCATGTTGTATGCACGTTGCCTAGGCTGTCTATACCCAGATTGCAGGTTGAATAAAGGACCCTCTTGCAGATGTTCGACCCTAACATCAGCCCGGCATAGCTCCAGCAGCTGTTTTGGGTACCTTGATGACAGATTGACACGGCTGTCTTCCTGCTGCATCCCTGGCCTCCTCTCTTGAAACTGAACGCTAGCAATATCTTCTCTGTGCTGCCTGAAAGACACACGACTTGTATGACGCGGAGGAAATGGGACTACTGTGTTAGGTTCCAATAATCCATGACTTGGAGATGTGCTTGTCTGTTGTCCTTGATGGGCAATAGCCTGGTCGAATGGAAGCTGCATCTCATGATAAGGTTGCCAGTTATGATCCTCTATAGCTACTGACTGCTGGTAATGAAAACCACCATCGTTCGCTTGACGTTCACCTACTCCAAGAGGATCCATTATCCCATAACACCGTGGAACAGCTTATTCTATAAAAATGATATTTCAAATTCAGAAACAACAGTAAAAAACAACTCGCCAATGATGCAGTGATAAACAGTCAGATCTAGTATCTCACAGTGACAAGAATAACGAGCGACAAAAAGAACGGTTGACAGGCCAAAATCTGCTACCTTAACACTTTTATTTTCTCCAACCATGTCGCTGTCTAAAATCCGATGAATTTCTTTCTTTTTTGCTTCAGCTAATGCAGTCAAATGTAAAAAGACGTGTCTAGGAAATACTCTCGGAAGTGTATGTTATGAGTCGCTCGCTCGTTTTCTTTTTGTTCGTTGCTTCGTAGAGTGAAAGAAAGAGAAAGAATAGCTTTGCACGGAATCTCAAAAAGCTTAGCTGATAATCAATATTCAGCCAGAAACTGAGTAGTGTAAACAATACCGAAGCATAATAGCTATAAAACAACTGAAAAAAGTCCTTAGAAATAAAGAAATGAATGAAGCTCTTAGATTCGGGGGTAAAAGCGGAATCATTTGAATATTCGTGATTCCTGTCGTTTTTATCTCAATGATTCATGATTCTTACAACAATTTTCTTTCAGATTCATGATTCACGAAGCCTTTTGATGACCTATTCATTAAATGAATTTCTCAGAGGCTACTTTGTCTCGTCTTCAGTAGTTTTTTTGGTGTTCCACCTTCAGTTTTCATCCAGAATTATATAGATTTCTCGACCACTGTTTCTTTGTATCATAATTCGCTTGTCTAGATATGGAGTTTTTTGCTACTTAACATTAAGCTCCAGCGTCACTGGAGAAACAAGCGGACTATCATTCCTACAAGTTTTGTAACTATGATTCATGATTAATGATTCCGCTTCCACCCCGAACTTAGATTAAGCACCAAATGGTGCTCCCAGTTTTCAGAAAGTACAGCTAAACAAATACGGATCTCACCTCTTTACATGAAAGATCCTAGGTCGGAAGGGCGTACAAATGATCTGTGATTAAACTAAATCGAGGTTCATAGGACCATAGCTTTGAAATATTTCCAGAGGATAACCATCGTATCGAGAGTTTTCAAGTGAATGGAATTCAGAGAAGCAAACAACCGGCATAAAAGTCAGCAATAAAAGATGTCAAAGATCCCGAAATGAGCTATATCGGCTTTCGCAGCTATAGGTAACTGGTCACTGAATTAAAAACAGGAATTTCGCATTCTTTATCGGTACATTAGCTCCTCAAGGGTCGGCTCCTTAACGTTACATTTTCGGTGTTTTCAAAAGAAACGTAATTTGGCACCGTACGCCCCCGGGAAACTTTGATTCTCTTTGATTAGAAGCGATGACTACGAAATAGCTATTATACTTTTGAATTATCGTTGCTCTACCGAACAGACCTAGCGACGAAAAAAACAAAAACACTAAGTGGCATCCCAACTAGACCTTTTTACATGAATTTAACTGCAAACCGTTGCGACCTCTATTCCGTGACAAGTTCTAAAATATTTATTGTAAGTGAAGGCCGGCCGACGTTTTTTTCGCAGTCGCTATAAGATATGACGTCCGTCACACGAAATGTCGAGAGAAGATGGACGTCTTGCGTGTCTTTATTATGTTATATGTCAGTTACCAATTGAAGTATTTGCAACGTAATCAAGTACGGAGTTCCGGGGGAAGGGGTAATCAACAAAATTTTATTCTAGGAAGCTCGGCCCCGTGGTCCAAATGCTTACCCTTAGAACTTTGCATCTCTTTTAACTGCCGTAAATGCATTGTCTTTAAATTATGAATAAATCACAAAACCAGAATTTTTTTCTCGACTTTCTCACCGCCATAAAATGCATCCGTTAGCCCTTTTGGGCCTTCTTACACATCTAAATGGCAGATTTCCCTACCCTTTCATATACCTGAAGCCTGAAAAAGGTACCCCTCACGGGCGGAGCCTCACATAGGTACCCTCGGGACAGGTTTGTATCCTGACGTGAGAAGATCAATTTAAAGTAAGCTCCTTAATTCGGATCCCGCCCCCAGCCCCAGAGAAACCTACCTAGGGAGATACCCCTGGAAATTTTCGCACAAGGGTACACAGAATGCTTCCTGATGTAAAGCCTTAACCTGGACCAAAATTCATGTTTTTCATACCACTTTTTAGGCCAGGACCGAAGAGATGAATAGTAAAAACAAAAACCATTTCCAGACCCTGGTTCCGGAGAGAACGAAACCTGGCCATATTTTTTAGTCCAAACGGTTAAAATCTTCCAATTTAAGACCAAACTTAGTCTGCTACACAGCCGTTTTAGCGTCGTCATGCAATGCTCCTCCCTAGTCTTTGAGGCTGTGCAGCAGACTTGACCAAACGGGGCAAAAACTCGTACCCTTTGGTGCGGCACTTGTCAAGATAATTGATACAAGCGGATCAGTCCCAGATACGGACATGAAAGGGAAAAATTCCAGTGTCCGCATTACAGAGATGCCGGGGATTAGGTGCGGTTTGACTGAATAAAAACCTTTATTTAAATCTTTTCACGTGGTCAACATATATTGTAGTCTTCTCCTTTTGGGAAACCATGTGTAGAAATGGAAAAACTATTCCGCAAAAAACGATTGCTGTTGCTATATTTTTTGCTATATTATGGATTTTATATTGACAGGAGAAAGCTCCTGATATTGAAGTATTTGCAACGTCATGAAAATCTAAACTTGTCAATGACTGTTACCATTTGGTCTTCTGCGTATATCACCTCTGCTCTCACAAATAAGATTACCGTAAACGAATATTGGAACTTGAACACATCACTCCCTTATTAAATTATCTGATCAGTGCTGAGAGGCAAACTCCATGCATGGATTGTAGAAAGAATCACGTAGTTTCCTTTTATGTGTGAATGAGAATCAAGTTAGGAAGTAAATATTTCAACCAACCGAAAACAGCAAATATAGAAACCTTACCCATGATAAGAATGGCCAAAGGATCAATTATTGTATTCTATTGTCTCTGTCACAAGTGCGACTGAAACCGAAGCGTGACCAGTTTGTTTTGCTTTAACGGTATATTTCAACCAATATAATTAATTACTTTCAGTTGCTTAAAAAAAGATTGTAACATCTTTCAAGAAGTATACCATATTCATCAGTTTGGCCCGCCGTAGTTTATTAATTCCAAAATATATTAAATATCAGCAAGTCCACAGCAACCAGTGAGTGGTGTGGCATCTCCCAGTTGTAGACCTGGATCAGTACAATTAAACTTGTAGAAAAATATAAAACGGCAAACTGATCCTTACGGCAAGGCGATGTAAAAAGTAAACAAAAGAATATAACCAAAAATATAGATTTCAACAAAATGCTTACTTATTAACAAATTGCTTATTGATTACCATGGTAACGACTATGTACTATTACATTGGTGAAACTACATGTACTAAGTGTTAAAGTAATACAGCACAAGTGTAAAACTACTGAATGCTAAGTGAAAGTAGATTATGATTTGTACTTGGGTAAAGATACTTGTTCAGTTAATAAAGGACATTATGTAGAAAGCAATGGAAGTGTGAGTATAATAATATAATTGTTGGTTTTGAAACATGATTTCTTTTCGTTATCCCTTATTGGTGTACGAACGTGCTTACGGTAGTTATTATAAATCGATTATCGCCTACATAAATGATGATTTTTATTGATAAGCTCACGGCTACTTTCCCAGCCCCTTTTTGTTATGTCCGCCTGGGAAATAGGTACTAATTTCTAGATCTTTTTCAATACGTTTTCTTTATAACAAATTTAGCGTTTTCATCTTAGTTAGTTCAGTTCTAGTGTAGACTTCATGGTGTTAACCTCTGTCAGCCATTGGGGCTTCATTTCTATCTACACTCGTGCTCATCAACTATCAAGTTCAGCATAGCGTTTGATTCAAGATAACACTGGTGTGTGTGTAAACCAAAGTGAGTATAGTTTTCCTTTTCTTTCTAGTTTTTCCAGTATCGATTTCATCGTAGGAATTATAGAGCTTAGTTTTGGTTATCAATTTGCAACATTGTTGTTGTAATCTTTTCTGTTTATGCGAGGAATCTATTTAGTCTTGTTATCACTGAGCTACAGTGATTTTAAGGGTTCTTATGCGCTACTCTTCAAAATGAGTATGCTGAGTGATTGATACCAGCAGTTTTATCGTCGTATTACTTTTTAAAATCACTTTATAGCCTGATTTAGTGTATTTTCTAGTGTTATTTAGTTCTCATTCGCTATTTGGTATCATCGGTTTTAGTCAGATATATTTGCACTCTATGTATTCTTAGCTAAGTTTTCGTTCGATTTTATCGTTTTCAGTTCGAACCAACTTTGTACGACTTGTACCGATTTCACAACTTAAGGACCTTTTGTCTTGACAATCGACCCGTCGATTCTTCTGTATCAAGTTGTGACCTCTGTGCTAGGAACATTGATATCTGGTTCAATAAATCTGTTCATGTTACTTCCTTCACTTCTCGTCGAGTTCGTTTTATGTCACGCACCGTGTTAAGTGGTTTACTTGGATTTTTGGTTCTGGTATTCTGTCCTTGTAAATTATAATAATAATAATAATTTCTCTTAATATAGCGCCTTTTAACATTAAAATGATCAAAAGCGCTTTACATGAATTAAAAAAAATATATATAAAAATACAATAACTATAATGAATTATAAGAAATATCTATAAAACCTAGCACAAAAAACAGACAATTGACCACCCCCAAGAAAAGTTACTCGTTGTAAGCTAAATTAAAAAGATGTGTCTTAAGTTTTTTCTTCAAAATACTGAGTGATGTTATTTCCCGAATATTTGCTGGAGGGCTGTTCCACAGTGTGGGGGCAGCAGCATAAAATGAACGAGCTCCCAATTTAGATAGCATTCGTCCCTTCTGACGGTCCTAAAATAAAGAAGAATTCGATCTAAGGGAATAAACAGAACTCGACTTAATAGGGACACTAAGTTACTAATATAGCTAGGTGACATATTATATATAGCCTTAAATGTAATAATTAAAATTTTAAAATAGATGTGGTAAAACACAGGTAGCCAGTGAAGGTTATATAAAGCTGGTGTGATATGATCATACTCTCTAGTGTTTGTTATTAATCTGGCTGCAGCGTTCTGTACTCGTTGTAGTTTACTTACATGATATTTGGGAAGGCCATAAAGTAGGCTGTTACAATAATCGAGTCTGGACGTAATGAAGGCATGAATTTATGTTTTAAGGGATTCCTGTGAAAGGTATTTAGAAATTCTACGAATATTGTAAATAGGGTAAAAATTGGTCTTACAAACTTGATTTATATGAGTATCCCTACTAATTGAATTGTCAAATATCGTTCCCAAATTCCTTACGTTAACCAAAGGATCAATCGTATGATCACCTACATGCAGTACTGATGGATTTAATTTCTCTAACTGCTGACGAGTTTCAATAGCAAGAAATTCAGTTTTATCATCATTGAGTAACAGCCGTCCTTCAATGAGCCCGGTCCTTATATCTTTAATACAATCCTCCATTGCGCGAATGGCCTCATCCTGGGTGTTAGCATCATCAAGCTTGAAACTCACGTATAGCTGGGTATCATCCGCGTATAACAATGAGCCTCGGGGAGACGACGGTCGATAACCTTAAACAGCGTAGAAGTGAAAACGTTACAGTCAAGAAGACTTTTGCAGGGACTGATCAAACAACGTGAAATAGAGTTTAGTTGCGATATTTCGACTGGCCAATACCATTCTTCATCAGGTTTATTGAGATACCACGAATTTACAGAAATATATATATAAAGTAAAATAAGGACCGGAAAATTACATATAATATGACGTGGTATGGTGTGGCTACTTAAAAAAGACAAGGTAACAAAAAATTTAAAAGACATACTATATATAGTTACAGTTCATCACGTTTATTAAGTAATGATCCGGGTAAGGTGGATAGCAATTTCTTTTGTTATGCGGCAACGGTGCTTTCCCCACATAGGAATGTTCTCATTTTTTACACAGAGAATGCATACAGTACATGAAGGCCGTTTTCACAATAAAATGCATTTACACCTCACTTTGAAAGGGTGTTTTTCGTGTTAAAAGATTTTGACCAATCACAAGAGTTGAAAACAATACCCAAGAAGTTTACAATTTTTCATGTTCCCCACATAGGATTTCTTTGTTATTCAAACGGAGACCAGATTTTGTTATATGGAAGATGGTTGGAACGTAAGGATGAATATATGTACTGCTTTATGAAGTTTTGTTAACTTTTGCTGTTTAAGCCAATCAGAAGTAAGTATAGACAATAGAAAAGTTAGCACCTTTTTTGCATTCCAGCATGTTCGTTGCTGTTGTTGCTATCGTTCTTATCTGGACCGTTTCTTAATGCCCAGAGGCTCTAGTGTCTTATCCATACTGCAGTTTCAGAACACTTTCAAACCAGTAATCATTCCGACAATCATATGCTTTTGATTCCAATTGAAAAACTCAAAAATGGGCGTGATTCTTTCAGGAAAGCACGCGAAGCCCATCTTATCCACAAAGTCCTCGTGCTGATGCCCCCAGGAGGCTCTGGTAGACGAGAATGTCAGCTTTTAGTTTCGTCACGCAACGCGTTGCGTGACGACACTAAAAACGGCTGTGTAGCAGACTACCGGTACTCATGCAATAGATCTTGTTAATTACATTTGTTGCTCAGGCGTTATGTTGTGATCCCAGATGTTCTCGCTGCTTTTGACAATTAACACCCTCATTTTAAGAGGCAGAATTTCTATTGCTTCTATTCAGTCTCGCTGAAGTATTACTTCCATGTTAGTAAGTGGTGTTACGGGTTGAAAGCGCAGATTTTCGGCGGCTTCAAATGGCGCTTTATCGATATCTTCACCTGGCTTTGATTTTGTTTGGAACTTGTGCCGGAAACAATGAAGATATTTGCAAGAAAGGGGACTGCAATGAATCGATAAGGAAGTGCAAAAAGTCTTTTGAAGAACAGAGTTCAGTTGAGGAAACTCCATATATGATTTCACCTGAAGATTTCTATTACAAGTTCATGGCTAAACACAAACCGATCGTTATTAGAAAGGCAGCCAGTAACTGGCCAGCGAGCGAGGTACATGACGGCATAAGCTATAAGTTTCTTTAATTTCGCAACTCTTTGTACTTTTTTTATCTTGTTTATAACATGACTTAAGAATCATAGCAATCTCTATTCCCCGACCAACAGCAGATTATTCAGTCAGTCACAAGAGGGTGGGTTTACCCACTTCCTGGCCAATTTTAGTTAAATAACTTCTTATCTGATATTTTATCATATGGCTGGTTCCATGAGCAGGCAAAACGAAGCGAAGCCTGTGTTCCGGTTGGCTACCAAAGCACATCTTGCCTGCTTAGGATTCCCAGTGTTGGTCCTGCAAGAAAAAAATTTCCTTTCTGGCCATATAATAAATCTTTTATCGACCAAGCTTATTTTTCATGGTCAAGATGGCTGGATATTGGCCTTTTCTTGCGTTGTTGATATTGGCCTTGATTGCGTCTTTAAAAAGAAAAACCTAGCCATCTGGACCTCATCCTTGGTCAATAGAGCATTTGTATCTCTTAATTTGAATTTCTATGTAGGTGTGGACAGAACTGTACTTGATGCACGCATTAAGTGAACGTACTCAGCTAGTGAGCCGATTAAAAGACTTCCCATTTGGTTTAAAAATGCATGTCATGATCAAAGATTTTTTGTGGAGGTCTCAACAAGAAGACTTGATGATGTTTAATCCACCGTCATCGCAGATGCTTAATGACATTATTGCTCCTCTCTGTTTGAGATGTCACCAGTTTATGAATCAGATGAAAGTTTCTTACTGGTTGCGACAATACCAAAGGGAGGATACTACACCGTTATATTTCCATTCAGATGAGCAGATGCTTACAGTTTTGAATGGAAGTGTTCAAGTTACTCTGGTTTCTTCTTTACATTCAGAGAAACTCCCTGATGATGAAAATCAATTGTTCTTAATTTCCAGATCAAAGGAAGGTATTGAAATTCTTTCTTTCTTTCTTTGTTTATAGCATTCAAGCTAATGCTTTAAGAAAAATTAAAGGAAGCCAAGTGCTCTGAACCTGTAAAATCTAGGTTGGATAGCATATGATTTGTATGAAAAAACTAAGATTTTCAAGTCACCAGAGAACTACCCTGCTAGCAGAGGTTTGTCTCTTGCATGGCTTTTAACATTTACGAAGTCAAGAGATGAAATTGACGTTGTAAACGTTAATGTTAAAAGCCATGCAAGAGAGGAACCTCTGCTCGCAGGGTACCAGAGGACAAAATTTGGGCAGCAGGGGCCACTGGGCACTGCTAGACCAAAGCCCTGAGAATTGTGTATAGAATTGCAATATCTTAAAAAATGTATCTTTTTCTGATTTAAGGGACGTCATATTAGATAGCTAATTCTAGTAATGACCACAGAAAGACTTGTCCCAACTCTATATCCTCTTGACTTACCTGCTTCATTCCCCTGTTTTGTTTTTCTGCGGAGCTGAAAATAACTCTCAGTCATTGGATGCCCAACTAAAATTTGCTCATGTCCAATAAAGCCTGGCCTTCAGTCAAACATGATCACCAGATAGATCAAAATGATTTGATTGATGTGTTTAATTTGAAATCAAACATTTTAGTTTTCCAAACACTGCATTTTGTTTCAGAGATTCATTCAAGGTTATCATCACAAGGCATTCCCCACTTCACTGTTAATCTTCAAAAAGGCGACATGTTGTATATTCCTCAAATGTGGTGGCAGCTTCTCACAGTACCGAGTGATCCTATCTTGTTTGTCCAGTTCTTGTGGCCTTCAAGAATGCAAACAAGTTCTGTTGTCCAATCATCATTTAAAACAAGGGGTAAGTCTGAATATGTTTCCAATTTTTTTGCCCATGGCGTGATTGGGAAAATCCAAAGTAAAATAACACCACTGTAGTCCAGAAAAGTGAATATGGTCAAACCTCTCGCCAATAGCCAGATTGGATGGCCAAGTAGCCACTTTATAGAGTGCTATGAAGGAGAAGTGGGACAAATTTTTTTTGGAGGGTGGAGGATACAACATTTTTCTTTTTAAAATGCTTGGTGTAGTACTTAAATACATACTTCCTAGTCAGTAAAACAGAAACCAAATGTCCAGAATAGAAATTTTAACAAAATAATGTAAAAAAGTACAATACCATGTAAGTACATCGCATTGAAGGTATCTAGAAAGTGGAACAACATAAAAATTAGAAGATAGAAAAGCAAAACAATAAAATGGTTTTCTTTTTTTGTTATCTTTCCCATCATGTGTAGATAACCAATTTTCAAGCATTCAAAAAGCAATAAAAAGCCTACTGAGAAGATATGAAGAGAGATTCTTAGGCACCAATGTGCCATCACTATTTTGCCCACATCAAGACATGAGGATGAGTGATTTTACCTTTGAGACTGGAAAGATGAGTGATGAGGAATATCAGTTTTTCCACAATGGCCCAGATTTTACTGAGGTAATACTGTATTTCCTCTATGCCTGTGGGTTTTTTTCCTGTGCCTCTGTGCTCCCTGGCCCCTGGCACCTAACATTTGCTGCCAGACTACTAGGAAATCTTAGTTTTTTTTTTTTTCATAGAAATCATAAGCTGACACCCTGGAGTTTGCAGGTTTTTTAGCACTGGACTCCCTTTAGTTTTTCGTGGAGCAGAGCCTTGAAATGGGGTGAAGTGGTTTTTATTAAAGAATCATGAATGAATCTATTTCAGGCATTTGTTTTAGAAATTCAATATCTTTATCGCCATAATTCATATGTATTTAAAAAATTATCACAAAACTTGGCAGATGAACTTGACACAAAACAGGTTTTGGTCGTGATTGACTGAACATGTACAATTAGGCTTTCTACTAAAATAATGAGACCTATTGGAAATCCTTGTATAATTTCCTCTTCATATGCCATCAGAAGGTTTAAATTTTTGTATATTTTTTCACACGATTTCAGACTGAGCCTTGCAATTTCGATGGACTAAACAAACAGAGTCCCTGCCATTTTCCTACATGCTATGAAGATGCAGAGAGTACTGAGTGCATACGATACATTCTAGATTATTGCAATCAATGGGAAGATCGTGGCTGCATCATTGAGTTGCCTCAGCTGTTAAACAAAGTTGACAAGGAGAGAATGGAAGAGATCATCACCATGAAATCACCAAACAAATTTTAAAATCACCTTGACTTTGTAAATGACATGACAGCATGGTATTAGTCTTCATAATCAGTGTGCAAAGAAAGGCATGTCCGATAGCCCAGGCAAAAACTAAAATTTTTTATTCAAACTCAGGTACTATTAATTTATAGATTTATTTCCTATTTTAACATTAAGTTAACTAAACTTACTTTCACACAAATGATGATGTCTACTTTGACAATTACCTAATATCTTTTAACAACTTGTATCTACATGCAATATTGTATAAAATTAATGTGGATTAGGCCATGCCCGTACTCCTATGAGACCCTAAGAATATCAAAGATAAATAAAAACAAAAAGAAGATAATCTACAAAACAGAGGGTCGTGGGTTCGAATCCCATCTGGGGCTCAGATTTTTTCTGTGTCCTCCTATGGTCATCTCCCTTTATTTCCTTTACAATATTAATATCAGTGGCATAGGTTGGTTGGTTGGTTGGAGGCTCCTTCATGGGTGAGACATTTCTTACTATTAATGTGACTGTGTGATACAGTTAAACCTCAATGTGTTGCTTGTGATGAACTGTGTGACTGCGAGATGCAGTTCACAAGTCCAACCCGCAAAAATGACCCTTGCTCGCCAACGAGTCCTCAGTAGCTCAGAGGTTAGAGCATCAGATCTAGAACACGGAGGGTCGTGGGTTCGAATCCCATCTGGGGCTCAGATTTTTTTCTGTGTCCTCTTATGGTTGACTCTTTACATCTCCCTTTATTTCCTTTATATATATATAAAAAAAAAAACAGGAAAAAAGCGAAATGAGTAAACAGAAGGTAAGTAAGAGTCAAATGAAAAATGGTAAAAGCTGTAACGCAAGACCAAGAGAGATGATTACCTTATCAAAGGTTAAGCATCAAGAAAACAGAAATTTATAAAAGTCACCCACATGGAGACAATTTGGGAGACCAGATTGGGTTGAATTGGAATTCTGAGCATACCACTTGAAAAATCCTAGCTTCACTCCTGTATACAGGTGGGCCTACTTGGGGACCAAGGTTAGTGGTCGTTTGTAAGGTATGTTGCCCATTGTAGGGTAACAATAAGAGTGACTGTAACTGCTGCGAATAAAACAAGGGCGGACTGTAGAATTAGTCCATATTGGTCCCTGCAAATAAACTTACCATGCAAATTTTCTGCACTAGCACTACAAAGTTCTTAAAAAATACAATAAAACCTAGGAAAAATATCAATACTGATACAGCAATGTATATATATCAAAAAGCAAAAATTAGGAACTATTGATTTTTTCTAGCTGTCTTTTGTTTGGTGACATTATTTGCAAAACTAATTGTCAACTTCTTTATTCCCTTGAGAAAAAAAAGTTCAGTGGATGCCACATGGACGAATCTCAATTTTGATAAACACTGTATCATCTTTAGAGTACCGAGGGCTACAAACCATTTCAATAGGTACAAACTCTGGGTACCCATACAGCATGTCGCTTTGCCCAGTGGCAATGGGCTTTTGAAAAGCTCTTTGATTTCCACTGGTCACAAAAGTGCGACTGATGTCGTTACAGGAGTCTGCACTACTTCCTTGATCCAAAATTGTGAGAGTGATTATTGCCATGAATGGCCACTTTAGGATATTATCATATTTTCCCGGCATCATGCCAATAAAAAGGCCAGCGTGTCTGCTATCTCCGTGATCAATGCCCACGGGGAACATGCGTATGCCAAGCTTGTAACCATAAGGACCCGTGTGAATGGGAGGACCTTCAAATGAACATATCCTTCCATTGACAGCATCTTGATGGTGTTGAGAGTAATTCCTCATAGGCAAAATAATGAAGTGACCATCAAAGGTACTGCCTGGAAGTAACATTTCCCCTTGTGTGTAACATAACCTGAAAATATATTGAGAAACGTTTTATGTATAAGTCTTCTCTCCAGTAATTCAGTCTGTATGACCTAAAACAGTTAGCTTGAGGTTAAAGTTCCGCTTTGGTCAAACAACAGCAGGAGAGTGGAGCCTCTGACAAACTTTTACAATAAATATCATTGTTATGTATAAATTTTTCCATTTATAAAAACAATAGTGCAATATACTAGTTTAGGATTTTATCAGGCATGAAGCAAGAGAATCTACTTGATGTACAATCAACCCTTGTAAACTCAACAGAGGCCACTTGATTGATGAAAGATTTCAAGTTTAATTGCACTGAGACAAGTAGATGTACAGAGAATAGTGAGCATTCGCTTGCCCTGCAATATTATAATGCAGCAGCCAGGCTAGGCTGTTGGTTGAGGGGAGCATAAAGGTTTGTGGTGATGCGGTTTTGCGGGAATTTTTATTTTAAGTTACGGTCTCGTGGTTTCACCAAACTAAGCGGTTTGCGGTATTTAAAATTTTCAGGTAATTTCAATGTGGTTTGCTGTTTTCTTATGTTATTCTGTGCTGTGTTTGTACGTAATTCTGTGCAGTTCTGTGGTATTCGTACCCCCCTTATGCCCCCTTCGTGGTTGCATTGTGTGATACTTACCTGTTAATGCTTAGCCGTTGGCTGTTTGAATTCCCTTGCTGCTCAGAGGAACTATTATCACTAATGTGCTCAATTGATAGCCCTGCTGGTGACAAAACCAGCTGAGACAAATCCAGCCCCTCACTGGCCTGCTCACTTTGTGGCTGTATGCCAGAAGGACTGTGTCTAGGCTCTCCTCGCCCTGACTGCAGGCTGCGTTCGATAACCTCTTGAAGGCATCCAACGTACTTGGACATCACTACTAACTCAATTGGCTGTTCATGGGTTAGCGTAACTCTAGCCTCTGCTTGGGAAATTACTTGGTAGCTAGGGGTACCAACAGACTGAGGCAACTCCTCATTGTGATTCTCATTCTGTTCAACATTCACAAAACTTGATGCGGGGTCCTACAATTTCACAAAAAAGAGTAGACTGTTATAATACTCTTTAAACAGAGGGAAAAAACTGACTCTTCGGTTCCTTCTCTAATAAGAAGGAACCTATAATTTCTTTCTTTAATGACCTAAAGAACACTAGAGAAAGGTCTACAATATTTGCATATTTTAAGTTTTCAACACTGACAAAGATGTGGTAATAAGGCAAAAATTTAAAGAACTTTGAGCCTGTGGAGATTGAGGTACAGGCAACTCGAACCTACTTAATAGAGTCAAAACTGTTCTCCACCGATGTAGGTAAGGTTTAAAAGGATCTATAGGTTGTGGCATTTTCTTCTATCTTTGTCCCTGTTCTGCCTATTGTCATTCTTATGCCCTTGTGGGCTAACTTGGAATTATGGGAAATCCCACTAAAAGCATGTGCGTGGAAGCATGCAGGAAGTACCATTAAAACATTATTCTCCAGTGACGACAACAACAAAGCTGCAAATGGTGTTTCTTTCTTGACAGGACATGTGTCCATTTTGGTTTAAAAAGAAAAAATGTGGTCTAACTCAATCAAGAAATTATAGAATACATGCATGTCTCATGAAAAATGTGCATAGTGGGTGCAAGATTTTGCAGATAGACTGATTACTGTGTGCAAGTAGAAAGGAATTGCTGTTGTTGAGGTTCAGATGTCTTTCCTGCACAACATCCCTAGTGGCAAGGAGTGAGGAGAAACTGTTGTTTTGCTATGAAATCACACAGTCAATAAAATAGAAAAATGTGTCAAAGGATTGATGAAATAAAACATCAATGAAAATGCCTTTTGGTCCTAAATTACATCTTAATATTATCTTAACAGCTCAGTGGGATAATAATTATCCCACTGAGCTGCCAACAGCCAACAGGGGAAGACGGAGGATTTTGTGATAGCGGGGGGACTAGAGATCTACTATACAGTGGCAATATGGGCACGATAGTACCCAAAAGGACTGCGAACGGTGCACTTTTCTAGGGAGTTTTGGGCGCATGTTCCTCTGGGAAAATTTTTGAGATTCTGGGAGCTTTGGTCATTTGCGACTAAAAATGTAGGCTTCAAATACAGACTCTCTTCTCATTATCAATGTTATTAAAGAAAATATATTTAAGTAACAAAGCTCGAAGTACCATCGGACACATGTTTACAAAAGAAAAAATTCTCGGACAAAAGGGAGAGCTGGGGCCCCCTTCTGGGCCCACCCCTAAATCCGCCCTTGTCCAATGCATGTCAACTACCCCCTCCCCCCGTAACAGCTAATCTGCTTAATACCTCTTGCTGTGGCCTTTCTGAATGCACTGATTGTTGCTGATCAGTTCCATTATTTCCTTGGAAACTCCTACACAAAAATCAAAAGAAAATATGACTACCTGACATTAAATTACCTAAATTTAATAAAAATATGTGCAATGTGGTTATCATTGTAGAAGAAGCATTTGAGTTTTGCTGGAGCTCGTTTGCAGATGAAAACTACACTTTAACAAAATCAACCAGGAGAGATGTAAAATTGAACAAATTTGCATTTGGAACCCCATGATTACTGGATTTATCATGTTAACATTGATTTTTGTCATCAGTATGCAATTTCTGTTTCTGAGTGACAGACGTTCCTCTGTGCAAATCATCCTCAGTGGCGAGGAGCGAGGAGAAACGGCTGTTTTTGCAGGCTACTGACTGAGTAATGTGAGGAGAATCCGGAGTACCCAGATTTTTTATTTCATATTCTGTTATGATAAGAGGCTATAATATTTATACATTTTACTTAGGTATCACACATACCAGGGTGAGTTTTTCGCGTCTGAAGTTGCTCATTTTCTACCCAATTTAAAAAGTGCATTTGATGGTAGTTTTTAAAAAACTGTAAAAAATTCAAAATCATGTTTATGGTTTAAAACATACGATAGATAGAAAGTAAATATAGAATGCTTTTGAAAAAACATATTTCTGTTTTATAGCTTTACATCTTGCCTCAGTAAAGACGCGATAAAGTAGGTAATTTTTTACTCTAATTTTTGCATAAACTAATTAGGTAAAACTGCTATTTTCGTTTTTCCTCATTTTCTCGAAAACTATAGATTCTTGAAAGTTAAAAATATTTTTTTTTTCGAAGAAAGTTTCCCAAAGGGGTTTTTCTGACAAATTATCAGTATTTTTGATTTATTTTAGCCTGGCCAGTGATTCTCGATATTTACAGTCATGGGCTCTTAAGTAGCCTCCCATGCAGACGTTCTTAGGGGTTCGTCACGTGTGACGAACCCCTAAGAACGTCTGTGTGGGAGGCTAGCTCTTAAGGGCCCATTACTGCCCCCGCGGGCAAAATCCCGAGGAGGCACTCTAGTAACTCGCGTGTATATCAAGGAAAGTACTTACAATTGAAATATACAGTCAGTAGACCAGAAAAAATCTTGATTTGCTTGAACAGGGGCCGCGAGCAATCGGTAGGTAATGATGACGTTAATATTGTTTGCGCCCGCAAGTACGATATGGGTAGGATGACGTAAAGACAGAAAATCCCGAAGGGACCGCTTAGGTAGATTTTGTGACATTTATTGTGCAGTCATGCTTTGATCAATACTCTTTTGGGTTACGTGTTATCTGTGACATACTCTGTAGAGCAGTTGTTTTGAAAGTTAAGGACCAAAAGACACTCGTTAAGCGCAGACACAGCTATAAGGTGCGTATAACTGTGTATATATAAACACTTGGAGAGTTTGCTAGACACGAGTTCACAAATCGTTGATTGGAAACCTTGCCAGACACTCTTTCTCTCTCTTTGACCAGAAGATGACTCAGCCCCAAACAAGCAAAACGAGTGAACGACAATTACAGAAATTCAGCGACAATCAAATTCTGTTCTGACTTATTTACAGCTCACAGATGTCCTTCTGCTATAAAGTTTAAAATAAGACTAGAATGCACGAGCGTGAATTGATCAAACATCCTTTTAATTTCTAAGGCTTACTTTCTGGCAAATACAATGAACTGAATGTAAAAAGTGAAAGAGAAATAACGAAAAATCCAACTTCTAATTAAATCTTTTCTTATGGTTTAGAATAAACTGATCTCTAAACTGAGAATGTTTTGATCAAAGCTGTGTAAATCGAACTGAAACTGTGCATGGAACCTTGCGTTTCCTGTATTTATCTCACCCATTGTATGGCCGAATATGTGTGAAAATCTTCATTATGAATTGGTATATTTCAAAGAGCTACACAACGAGCAAGAATACTATTGACCGACAATATACAGAGCGGGGGCAGTCGTAGTGTCAACTATTACTAGTTGTATAACGTTGCTAGGTAACTGAGTTAGTAGTGCAAAGTGTTTCATTTCATTTCATTTTAGTTTTGCATGTTTTTTGGACAGCCAGCCACGCAGAATATTTTTTCTTGCCATAAGAGGTATCGCTTCCTTTCTGTTTCACTTGCATTTAATCGCATAATACCTGTCACAAGAACAATGGAGAGGTATGATTATGAACAGGATTAATATATTTACAGCAACATAATCAGGACTTAAGAGGGATGAATTCTTCATCATTTTTTACCAGAATGCATGGCACCACAAACAACTCAAATAAAAACACGAGGAAGTTCGGTGGGTGAGAGCACAGGCGGCCCAGACGTAGTGTGTGTCAATAGAGTGTTTTCACTCATGAGGCCAGCATCTATGCAAATTTATTGGAACAAAAGAAAGTGTTTGCATAAGAAAAGAGCTCAACCCCTAACGGATTAGTTTGGGACACCAGCATGGCCGCCGTTTCATTGTTTTGGGACACCAATATGACCGCCGTGACGTCATGTGAAAACACTCTATTTAACATTAATATTCACATGGACAAAATGGGATGAGTCGTCAAAACTCCCATGAACTAAAATAGTCCAAAAGTCACAATATGACAAAACAAAGCTAAGATACCTTTAACTGAACGTCTCCTTGTTGCCTTTAAAGACAACCCAACCGTTAGTAAGAAATACTTATCCAAAAACTCTAGGATATGATGAACAACTCCAAGAAAACCATCACATGGGTCGACAATGACGAACATTTTGCCTCGTACACCTCTCGAAGGAGCCCCGTCCAACACCCGACTGCATAACAACGAGAATGTAAGGATTTGTATGACATGTGGGGAAATACCTTATTATAGGAAATTAACGCTCCCGTTAATTTTGTTGAGCCTTAATTTCCGCGACGTTAATTAAGTGCAGCGTTAATTTCCGCGCTCTTAATTTCCAGTATTTTAACCCCCAATTTTGGAACTTGTCCAGACATTCTTGACACCTAAAAAACATTAACTACAAGCTTTCTTTTCTTTCCATTTACCCTTTATTTTCATCTTTCACAAAAGCTAAGGCAAAGGTTTACAATATTTTGAATTCATCTTCATCGTTGTCGCTGTCAGAACTGATGTTAGCTCTGTTTTGTTCAGTTTTGCATTTTTTTACATCCAGTGTTGAAATAAATTTGTTGCAGTTGTCACCACCAACTGTGTCTTAATCGCGTTAATTTCCTTTGTTATGAAATTCTACCTCTTCTTTCGCGTTAATGTTCTTTATTCGAGAGTCGTTGCCATTAAATTCGCGTTAATTTAAGTCGCGTTTCATGGAGCGTTCATTTCCTATAATAAGGTATGGGATTTTTATAGTAAAATTAAAAACGTTATTGTTATTATCGTAAATTTCTCCTTCATACAAATCCTCATTTTTTCGTTGTCTTCTCTACGCCTCATCACGACTCCGTTTCAAAGATATTGTGCGCTGCCTGTCAGCCGCCGCGACCCCGCCGCCATATTGGAAAACTAGAAGACCCTGGGAACGACGAATCGTAAGGTACAAAAATCGATTCAATTTTCTCGGGTTTGCGCAGGCGCAGTTACGCAGAACAAAAAAGATAAAGGGCAAAAACCGTCAATCAGCGGTTTTTGCACTCTGTCCACGGG